TAATGTTTTATAAACATTTTTCAGCATGACAGCTTAAAGTCCCTGTAAAATTGTAAATGCGTGCATAGTGCTCACTTCCATAAAGTCAAATGCCATCTCATAAAGTCTAGTTGGATCCTGTCAGTGACAGTGACACAGAATCAGTACCTTGGAGCATTAAAATTAATTTGCTTCATTTATATTACTGCAGTGATAGCTAGATGAAAAGAGTCCTATATTTAAATTCCCTTAAAAATACCTTCAAATCTTCTAGGACTTTTTATTATTATTATTTTACAGTTAACTAAACGTAGTGAAGTGCAGCATAATATTTTCATAGGCCTTTTAAGAAGGTGACTAGGAAATGTGAAAGTAGCAAAGGGGCAAGGGGAGGATGTGGGAGGTTATACTGGGTGCAAAGCTGGAGGAAGGATAAATAGCTTTCAGTTGTGCAGGCTACTACAGAAACAGTGGCCTTTCACCAGGGCTGATAAACCACAGGGCTGATAAACCACAGCCTTGGAGCCAAACTGGAATACCCTGGAGCAATGCAGAGCAAACAAGGCTTTCCTATAGCAGACTCTAGGAGCCCTCCCCTCACTCTGCCTTGCCTTTGTTGAAGGTCACGGATAAACAGCTTTTCTCTTGCTAGCTCTTCCTTCAGGTTTGCAAAGTTCTTACATGAAATGGGCTGAGTGAGGATGCAAACAGGGAGAAAAACGAAATGTATCCCGTATCACAGGCGTGACTCACTTCTCTCAGTTGCGGTGGGGCTGATTTTAGCACCCACTGCACTTCGAGGAGCTTAGTGATTTCAGTGGAAGTACCCAAAATTTACACTGCTGCAAGTGAGCAGAATCAAAGGTCTTGGGCAACAAGCCAAGCAGGCTAAAAGCATGGGAGCGGAGAAGAGGAGGAAAAAGGAGGAAGGGAGAAAATACAAACAGAAAAAGAGGAAGAGTCTCTGAATACTGGAGGCAAAGAGGAAGATGGGGATACGGGGGAGTACTGGTAGGAGAAACATAGCCCAACAAAGGAGAACGGGGAAATTCAGGGTAGAAAGCTGGGAATACCAGTGATCTTGTTTGTAAGGGATATCTGTGGGATGGTCTCAGTGCTTCCTCCCTCCTGTTACAGCTCTCTCTAGTCCTGATCAGGTGAGGTGCTGTTTTCTCACCCAGCTGGGTACCACGCTGCCTCTTTCTCTGGAGGAGGATGGGGTACAACCCTGACGTGCGCCTGTCAACAGTGTTTGGTCAGCTCTGATCCAGGAGTTGGACACATTAATGCAATAAGGCTGTTTAAAAGTTTTGGCAACTCAATAGCTTGTTACACCCCTACTTTGAGCAGAGCTGCTCAAGTTGGCACCAAACCACAGAGAAGCACTTTGTCATTCAGTTCTCGTGACATGTAGTGAGTGAGGGTCGTTGGCAGCGGAGCTGAACCAAGCTGCTGGAAGCCTGTAACTTCATAAACCGCAGCAACATGAGTGGGTGTTTGTGGCATCAGCCGTCAGACCATGACAGCAGTCTTGAAACTTAATGAAAAGGCTGTATATAAACTGATAATGCCAGTGTTCCTCCTCCAGTGTCAATCAGGATGAAGACCCATAGAAATGAGTCCAATTACCCTGAAATGCAGATAAGCATGTTTAATGGCTCTGTGAAAACAAAACGAAAAATCCTTGCAGGCATTATTCTTTATAGGTGTGAATGCAATCTTAATGCTCCAGATGGCAAATAAATGCCCTAATAATACTGGCGGGGAGGGAGGAGCTGCTGTGTACTTTGAGGAAATTTAAGACTAGGGTAGTGGTCTGGATTTTAATAGATGTGATTTGATCCTGTGCAAAATTTTAGTTATCTTAGACTTAGTGTAGCTGTCATACTTTTATAGCAACATGCTATAAAAAGATGAGAAAAAGAAGAGTGGACAGTCCAAAATAAAGATAACCATTTCTATTTTCTTTAGCATTTTCATTCCTTGCTATCTATGTTGAAAATTTAAACTCATCTCACTCACTTCATTAGTTTTTTTATAGCAGCACCTGTTCATGTCACTACTGTTTCAGTCAGTGTTTCTGTTACAGCTTCTCTTAATGTTAGTTCATAATCTCATCTTGAAAAGGCATTATGGGCTAAGATACAGCATACAGTATCAGCCCAGGCACTATAAGGTCACTTTTCTTCCTTTGGCTGGGATTTGGTTTTAATTTTGTTTGTTTGGGTTTTTTCCCCAAGTGTTTTTTATATATATAATAAGTACTTAATTATATACATATTAATTATATATATATAAAAATACAGTCACTTTTTTAACAGAAGGAAGAGTAACTGTTAAAGTGTGTTTTTCCTAATTAAGTATTTGCATGAGTTTTTTATATTTGGAAAACATTATCCGTCATACTGATGCTTGCAGTTACTATGTGTTGCTAGGAAGAAGTTTTGACAATGTTTTAAAAAATAAATAAAACCCATGCTGTTTTGTTTAGCTTTGTGGTAATATTACTGACACAAGCATTTGTGACTGTAGTTTGTGGATCTCTGTTATGAAATATTTTCTGAGAGAGTTGCATACTGGCAAAGTAGGAATTATGAAAATCAGAAAGTGCATAAAAAGGCAAGGGGGCTTTTTTCTTACCTGCAAAAAATTATTATTATTTCCTTTTCACCTGTTAGCCTTTCCTGGTAAATAACAGGAACTTCAATTGCACGTTAGTGGCTTACAGGAACCTGTTGTTGTGACATGTATTTAAACAAGCTGTGAATTAAGAACCTCTCCCCACCCAGTGATCTAATTGTATTGTCACACTAATTACAGTATTTTGTATTTACATTTGACAACTTTAATTTTCTTTTCCTAGTTTGTTGAGATAGCTTTCCTCTAGAGAATTTACCCTTTAGGCTGGAATTTCTCATCTTTTCTTTCAGTTCAGAAACTGTACAATAATTTAAACCATGTCTCAGTCACTTTGGATCCATTCTGTTCATGTCTCTGCCGTTAGTTTTCTGTGTGATCTTAGGCTAGTCATTTTAGTGTTCTCTGATTCTCTGTAGGAGTCCTGTTCAGCTTACTAAAGTGTTTTTGGATCTATGGATGAAATTGCACTACCAAAACACCAGGTACTGTCTTAACGAACATAAATATAACATGTTCATAGCTTGGGACTCTAGTTTATTTTTCTATGGTTCGAGAACAGAAAAGGACCCACAAGGGTCAAGCTGAGACTTGGAAAAAGGCAATAAAACCTTTATCTGTTTACAAAAACAGTATATTGAGCATTTGAAGTAAATTACACTCCTTAATATAATGCAAATGCCCACTTAATTTCTATCCAAATACTGTCTGTTCCCAAGCCCCAGACATTAGTGTTGTTAATAAGCAGCCCTATTGCGTGATAGGTCCATGATGTTTTTTTGAAGGTAATTATAATATTGAAATTAAGAACACAAACCTCTATTTGATTTAATCTTTCCCTGAAAATAGCCATATAAGTAAAGGCTACTAGTATGGGGATGACATTGTTAGTGGTGTAATGTGATGAAGCTAATCAACAGAATTACAAGAAATGGTGCTGTGGAAACATCGTGCAGATTTCTGGATTGTGAAGAAATCTGAGGATTTTCCTGGACATGAGTCCGCAATAGTGGGACACTGGTAGAGGGGTAAATATTCAACAAATAAGCTGTTTCCTCACATAGGGAGGAAGTAAATTTATTAAGAGAAACCTGAAAGGGTGTTGAGAATGGGAATTAATCCAAGACATAGACAAATGTTAATGTAAACATGGCAGCTTTGGTTGATCTGAAACATCTACTAATGGGAGAATGGAGGGCATGTGGCTCAACGCTCGGCTTTTCGTCATTGCTAAGAATGATGACACACAGATGAGCTCGGTGAAAACTACGTGTAGTCTGCTTCACTGTAAGGTTGATGCTGGCAAAAGATTCCTAGAATGACATTTAAAATGAGGGAGAAAATAAGGTATGTTCTCAGGGGTCTCCCAAGGAATTGCAGCTGCTCTTGTTGGCAATTATGTCAAGCAAGACAGAGATGGTTGCAAGTTTTGCCCACACCTATGCTTTGTGGAGCATGGTAGCAAAGTTCCAAGATTTAAACAGGTGATTTTGAACATGTTCAAAATGTTTCATTACTGAAAAACTAAATCAAATTTAATTTTCCATATCACATCATCACGTGGGAAGATTATGCATGGAGATGTCTAACACAATTAGCACTGTTGAGTGCAAATTCAAGCTCTTGGGAAAAATGGCCCATCTCTAGCTCTCAACACACACTTCTGCCAGCAACTTCTCTACTCCAGCTGCTCCCTAACTATTCATAGGCATGACCACTTCAGTTCACTAAACCTTTTCTCTCTCATGCTGTATCTCTTCTGAAACATACAGGTAGAGAGTTTTGCTCTCTAACACATGAGCACTCACCTGCGGAGTACTTCACTCTCTACCTTGGCTGCATGAATCAGTCAAAGCAGGGAGGGCTGTCATTTGGGTACTCACCAACTGGCAGGGAGTACGCCAGAAAACACAACCTTCCTCCAGTGGTGAACGGACTGAAGAAAGGCTACAAGCAGGAGTCGGGCAGGTTGGATGGAGGACGATCATGAAAACACGAAACAGAGCACAATGAGAGGAAGTAGTAAATAAGCAGTACAGAACCATGCTCAGCAACCGAACAGTCATGCAGAATGTATTTTATATCAAGTCTTCAGCAG